AATTTTGTGTATTTAATGAGATTTATTCCATATTTTTACGACTACATACAAATGCTACAGCCATGCTCATCGTCGGCGACGACGACGACAGGCCTAAAGCGGGCGGCGACAACACGCCGGGCGCCGACGCTGGCGTTGTCACCTGACCCGTGGCGGTACACCCTAGGGTTGGGGTTTGCTACCAGACTTCTACCCGGACCGCGGCCGGAAGCGGCAAGGGCATGGTGGTCGACGGGGAAGACAGCGAGGACGGGGTGTCGAGCAGAGTAGCGGACGGCCTTATTATACTAGTGTAGGCGGTGACGTGTACTGTGTGTAGACCGATGCTCGAGCGTTGAAGTCAAGGGGGACGAGGTGGGGTACCCAGGGGGGGCGTTCAGGTGGGGTGGCAAAATAAGGTTTTCAAGACCCCTTGGTCTCGCGTCTTGGGGCGTAGTCCCAAGTCTAAGGAATCTCGCTTTTGGTGTCACTCGGGTGGATACTTAGGCCACCACTTTAAAAAGTCGCATACAGACGGAGTGCGTCGGAGATGGTGCCAGGGACGTCGGAAGACCGACAGGAAGTCCAGATGGTCTGACTTTGACACCTCAGGTACTTGAATTTCCCTCGTCGACATGGTCCAAATAAGAATGATTTTTCAAAAAGTGGGCCCATCGAACTGCAAAAGGCTCTAGGACCCGCGCTGATCACAGGCCATAAGTACCTTTAGCTGCGGCAGATCTACAGTTTGACCATGAATGGAATGATTCTTCTCTTTGTGCACGCAGCGGACGCCGTAAATCAGTTTCTTGATGGTTTGTGCCGTTAGCTGTCACTTCGGGCATTGTTACGGTTCTGCCGGAGGATAGTACCTCCTCTGCGGTAGATAAAGGACGGCTACAAGGTGAAAGAATGTTAGAGTCGCCACTTCGACTCTACCCGGGCGCCTTAAGAGACATACAGTCTGACATAAATGCTGGCCCTCGGGTTTCTCTCGCTCTTCTATGCATTCCTTGCGGTCGCACACTCGCTGCCCCAACTGCGGAGCTTAGAGAAGAGGGCTATCTCGGAAGGTACTGCATGACATTGACTATGAATATGGCAGATTCTCACCTCCCACCTCTGGCACATCAGCCTTATACGACGACTTATTTTTCTACTTCAAGTATGCGTCGTCTGCGTATCATTCGACCTGTGCCAACCCTAATGGTAACACTCTGGTTGAGGAGGTAGACCTTCCTTGTGACGACAGATTGCTATGATTACTAGTCCCTGACATGACATCTAGTTTTCTAACTTAACGACTGACACGCAAGGCTTTATAGCGCGAGACGATACTCGCAAAGAAGTTGCAGTAGTCCTGCGTGGAAGGTGAACCGTTTGTCTATCCTCCATATCCGTGTTTTGCCAACTTCTCCGACAAGTACCTCCGTGGAAGATTTCCTCACAGACGGCGAGATTGTCCTCGAAACGTACACATCCCCCGGCGTGTCTCCGCCTGGTGAGTCCTATTCTCCGTCTAAATGTGCACCCGACAGAACACTCAAGCTGTTTGTCACAGCTGGGACTACTGTGCATACCGGGTTTCTCACCGCGTATGTCAAGTTTGTTCACACCGTCTACTATTTACTGAGTATGCCATTGGGTGCAGATGGAACTCTGTAGCATCTGGGGTGATATCTGTTGTCAGAGACCAGCTTGCGGCACACCCAGGCTATACTATTGTCACCAGCGGACACTCGCTCGGTGGTGCACTGTCGTCTCTAGCTGCGGTGAGCATGAAGTCGAACTTCCCGAACAAGTCCGTCCCACCCGTCTGCTTTTTCTGGCAGTGATGTAAGCTTGCAATAGTACCGTGAGGATGTACACCTACGGACAGTCGCGCACGGGCAATCCCGCTTACGCGTACTACGTCAATGACCTGTTTGGCTCGAACGCATATCGATGTTAGTAATACGCATCCTCGTGCCTTCAGTCTTGTGCTCATCCGTCTCGTCTAGTCGTGCACAGTAACGATGGGTACGAATATACTTATACCGCGTGGGTCATATCAACGCATAACGCGTCCTTCTAGTGTCCCGACAATGAGACCGCAGGATTTAGGTTATAGGCATCATGGTGCGATCTAGCCCTTTCCCCCCGCCCCTCCTCCTGCCCCCGGAGGCTCCGGTTGGGCTGACTATCATCTGCTTTCAGGGATCGAATACTGGCAAAACCCAGAACCATCGTCAGCTGCTAACACCAAGGAGTGTGCGGCGGACGGGGAAGACCCGACCTGCTCGGATTCCATCCCTTCGACGGGCATCAACGCGGCGCACGTCTCGGTGAGTACCCTATTTGCGTCATGTGTCGAGCGTCCTCTGGACAATCCATTGTATACGCAGTATTTCGATGTGTTGACGTCCACGCCCTACTGCACGTAATGATTTCCCTCCGAGTTAATTTGGCGAAGAGGAGCCCGGTCGTCAGTTATCTCGCAAAAGTTCATACTCCCACATGTCATGTACTTACACGAGCCTACAATATCAAACATGTGTCAAATCACGCATACTATAGTAGTCTGAAGCGCCAAAACCAAGCCGAGCCCGACTTATCTATCTTTTGGAACTGGGAAACTTCGACTTGCACAATGCACAAACCTCATATTTGGTACATTGGACAGTGAAATTCGACGCAAAAGAAGGGGGTCGTTAAATGATCAGAATACAGGCTTTGGGTCAACTTCCCAAGTTCTGCCTTCCGCATTTCGGGTCAAGATATAGTTCGATTTAGAATATTCCCGCTAGGTAGTGCATCAGTAAAAAGGAAAGGGTTTGAAAAGGCTGAGCATCAGACTTTTTAGACACGTCAGACTCTGCTCGACCAATCACATTGCGCGAAATCCTTTCAGCGCGTGAGAACCTCAATTTGGGTCGTTCAGACCCTGTATTGATACAACCCTAGCAAGACAGGGTTGTCAGTGACTACGTTAATACTACGTTAATACCGTGGGAATGACCAACTGACTGTTGTGACAGTAATTTGGTCAGTAGTCACAGTATTTATGTGAGGGCCTGGGCAGCTGGGTACAACTATTATTTCGTGCCTGTGGTATATTAACCAGGATCTAAGCGGACGTAGTGGGCTCTATAATGTATCTTAACACCAATGCTAATCTTTTGCATGCAGAGCAGAGCCCATAACCCGCTTTCAACCAGTTTAGCAGGTTCATATTGGTGTAGTTGCGGCAAACGGGAAATGCCAACATCCTTGCCCGTGGCGTGCGAAACATCACGCTAAATTTAATACGGCGGAACATTCCGCATTTTCCCTTGCTATTTTGAGCTCCGTTGCCCTGCTAGCGAAAGGACTGTGACTACAGTGACCACGTGGTCATACCTAGTAATTTCGGTAATAACTGAAGTCATTTCAGTCACAGTCACGAATAATGACTATGACGCGCCAACGCTGTAGCAAGACATATTGTGCATTTTGTGTATGGGATACAATACATTATTGAATACAGAAGTAGATTACAACCAGTGGACCCAACAGTTCACCCCTGCTCAATTGCTATACCTGGATCAAAAACACATTTAGACATTTAGACCTTCAGACGTTCCTCTTTTTCCTGATGCCAATGTCCCAAGCTAGTCTAAATGATTTCACCAGCTTGCCCGACGGTGCACCTTAATCATGGACCCATTGCATACACACTCCTAGAAAACCGTCGAAGACCAAGCGGCTAACATTGTTCCAGGTCATGTCCCTCGTCTCGCCCCATCTGACCTTTGTGTGACCGACACTTACATGCACATGGCAGGACTTGGACAGACTTGGGAGGTATTCGGCGCTGCGCGGCACGCCAGGTCCGATTCCTCACATATAAAAGTCTATGGTAAACCCACGGC